TGCACTAAAATGTGCGCCACCGTAACCCAAAATTCGGACACCGAGTTTCCAAAGTTTCTTTTTCCTTCCAAGAAATTTTCCTTTGCGTTTTTGTTGTTTGTTTGTACTCTTCTTTCTTGCACTGGATGATATCAACTTTTGCGAGATGTGGTAGAGAGATTTGTGAGCTAGGGGTTGCACAGAGACCGCAGGGAGGTGTGACTATGATGGAGCGATTTTGTTTATGTTGTTCTGGAGGACGCTTCCTGCTTGTTTTCTTCTTTGGGAGATTACTTATCAGCTACTGTTTCATAATTGAAAAGCAACTATCCAAGACACTTTTATCGCGGGAGCTGTCTTTGAGCATCAGGGTAGTCACACGTTGCACATCTTTGTTGAACGCTTCCGACTTCGAGCGAGATAGCACCTAGTCTGCTTTTCCTTGGTAGAGTTAGCTGTCAGTCCTTTGCATTACCTCTTGTCCTCAAATGTCTGCAGTCGCCATTTGTGCAGCTAAGGCTCATTTCTAGGCCTTTTGTTTGTGGAAAACGCTTCAAATTGGCCTTGTGGTTCTCCGAAGTGCCGACTTTTGTATCTGACAAAGATGCGCCCTAATTTTACGTTTTGCCGCCGCGGCGAATGGGTAATGGCCTTCCTTGGAGGCATTTCGGTCTGTTATTGAAAGCACTTCCCGCGACTGCACATCGCTGGTATAAGAGTTCAAAAACAGGAGTGCAGTGTGCTAGTTAACTTTGTAGTGAAGAAAAAAGAGTGAAAAACCATTTTCAATATGACCCTCTTTCTTGCATTAGGCCGCGTTCATAGCTTGCGTTCGTGAAGAAATGCAGAAGTCCGGAAAATGCAGAAGTGCGGAAAGTGCAGAAGGGCGGAATCTGCAGAAACGCAATAGATACTTATCGACTTGAAGAAATGCAGAAATGCCGAAACCACAGAAGTGCGGAAAGTGCAGAAATGACGAAAAGCAATAGATACGTATCGATTTGAAGAAATGCCGAGAGTGAAGAAATGCGGAATCTGCAGAAATGCCGAAAGTGAAGAAGTGCGGAATCTGCAGAAATGCCGAAACTACAGAAGTGCGGAAAGTGCAGAAGTGCGGAATCTGCAGAAAAGCAATAGATACTTATCGACTTGAAGAAATTGCAGAATATGCGAAAGTGAAGAATGCGGGATCTGCAGTATCGGGATTGCTGCAGATCCCGCATTTCTTCACTTTCGGCATTTCTGCATTTCTTCAAGTCGATAAGTATCTATTGCTTTTCTGCAGATTCCGCACTTGTGCACTTTCCGCACTTCTGCATTTTCCGCATTTCTGCATTTCTTCACGAAGGCAAGCTATGAACGCGGCCTTAGATCATGATCATTGGTCGAGACTAAGATGGTCAAGACAACAGTGATATGCAAAAGGTGACGATACACTGCAAAGCGTGGAGAGAGATCAGAATTTGACGGGCGAGAGAGCACAACGGCATGATTACGACGACACGGGCATCATAGGGCGGCATTGGCCTCCTTGAGCCTAATATCGAAGTTCCCGGTGCCTTGTGTGCCATTTTCCAAGTTTTGCAGTGCAGCCTTTACAATCGCCTACTAGATCATCTGACACACTTATGGGGTTAAAGCCTCAGTTTATTGCGGAAAGCACCTTCAAGGAACAAGCTTCAGTGTGCTATAAAAACGGTTATGGTTAACAAAGTTCGCCTTGAGCTGATGGGATCTATCATTTTCTGATCAATAGGTACCCCAGAGGCTAGTAATCATCAGTTCAGTTACACATTTTCGTTAATAGGTATCGGAATCAGAAAGGTGAGCGCTTTGCCCAGCTTGTATGTAGACAGGGAGCGGGCTGCATGTCGATCATTGAGGACCTGGGCCTTACTAAGGGCCGGCATGTTACTTTAGTGCATATGCCGTGCTGTGAACTCTCACGCTCATTTGCCTGATCTCTCTTCCGCTTGCACAGTCTTTTTTGCATAATTGTATAGGGCTCAAAAGTTGAGGGATTCGAGGTTTGATTCCGCTTTACTTGGATGTTTAGTTATCAGGCATATTGAGATTTATATTTGAGTCCTAGTTCCATTGATCTTTAGTCGTGAGGTGTGTCTTTAAGGTATACGAAGTGCTCGATACTTATCTCTGGCTTTCACTGCGATTTCCCGATATGCTTCCTGATGAGATGGAGGTCCGCGAGGCGTGCCGACAGTTGGACGCTATGCTACAAATTTCTGTCGATAATATACTTGAACTGCTGGATAACTCAGCAATGGGAGACGCTAAGAAGGTACTTTGCATCTTAGCCTTCTATGATTGGCCATGGTCAAATTTTCAACTTAGGGCTCGATTTTGAAGAAGATGCGTGAACGCGCACAAACGTTGCGAGAGAAAGAAGAATTTGAAGAAGCAAAGAAGAAGGAGCTCCGATTGCCTGACAAAAGGAAAGGCTTGAGAAAGTAGGTTACTGAATTCGCAAGGCAGTTCGAGTTTGCTTAATCAATCCTTGATTAAGATCAGTCTTGCAGTCAGTACTGTCGCGTACTGATCTCTCACGTGAAGAGCTGGAGCAACTCAAAGAAGAGTTGAACGAGCAGAAAACCTTGAATAGCTAGTTTCCAAGCTTGTTCAGTGTATTTTCGTTCTGATATATAAGATTCGATCATGTGTTGAATTAATCAAGCGGTCACTTATTACTACAGGCTGACATTTGAGTATGAAAAGTTACCTGAACGTGATTGTTACAACTGACTAGGGTTACAGCCTACTGTCGGCTGAGAAGGGGCCGAAACTTATAAGCATTGTATTCATCTATAGGATCAGTTTCTTATTGTAAGTGTAGACTAGGTTGTAGATGAGTCCAGCCGTAATGGCAGATCGCCCTATCAGTAAATTGCAATAGGAATTGCCAGCTGATTGTATTTTGATGATTGCACCGTTCACATTCACTAATTCATAGATTTTCTAAATATTATTCCTAAAATCAAAGAAAATCATATGGAAAATGATATTTCAACAGTGTTGATTTATTTGCTTCTTTAACCAGTCTCTTTCGGAGTGGGAGGGGGAGGTGGCTCATTGCTTGTGATGAGTAAAGGATTTACAGAGGGGCACGTCCCGGGTTTTACTGTCCCGGACATGTATCAGTCCAAACTCAGCTTTTGAGGGATTTAAAGCATTCGACGTTAATCGAACTTTCTTTCAGGACACGCCAAACATTTAGATTCTATTCATGATTATGTAGGCTCTCAGTGGGGCCTGGCCTGTACAGCCATCTGGACGGAATGTGTTTTCATCCTCTCAGATGTGTCTAATTGTAGTTGACCGGCGCTTCGTCAATGGAAGGTTCAGCTCGCCAGCGTGATACTGGGTCCTGCATTTGACCCTTGAATCGTTCATGTGGTAGACTATACGCCCACATTCGCCGGTATTCCGTCATTCAAAAACCAGCATTGAGCTCCCTCCGCCGCTTTTGGCACAATGGACCCTGATCTGAGAACAGGGACTGATGGCCATTAAAGAGCAGGGGAGCTGCTACATTGAATTATTAGTTACTTAGCCGTACTATTCGTGACTGGCTGCTAATACTAGAAGGAATGTTTTATGAATCATTCCCAAAAAAGAATGAAGATCTGCCGTTCGATGGATGATTTAGTTGTTTTATCACATGTTGTTACATGGAACTGTTATGTTGAAATTCTTCGTATTGCTCAGTAAAGATTTCCTATTTGGAATAAGTAACTAATACAAGTCATGATGCTGCCAATATATTTTCTATTCTTTGCACTATTGAATTTCGCGACGTCAGGACGCCATTCTTTTGTGATGTCGTGGGGCGTGTTCGTGAGTTCCAAGGATTGGGCGGTTATGTTCACAAGAAGCTAAATTCAGTATCACCGCCACGGTACCGTAACCCGGTACGCGCCCTTTAAATTGTCTGTCTGTCGTAGGTGTATTGAAGACATCAGCACGGGCATTGAGGCTACGCCGATAATTCCCTTTCTGTGGGTTGAAGAAGTGTTTCGGATGTCGCTGTGAGGGCTTCGATATAAGGGTCAGCCTGATCTATCTTCCTACTAACTACTGTTGCTTCAAGCACTTTGGTGGTGCTGCTTGCTTGGTGCTAATCAGTGTGGCATAGAAACGGCTTTCAAAGGTCGCTAAAGTAAGCATTAAATTGATTGGCTCTACGTTCGAATCATTAGCCTCATCGCCTCGAAAGGTGGAATAGGTGGCACTTGTAAAGGTTGGTCACGTTCACAACTAAGTCTTTTAACCTGGGAATAATGAAAATGTCATAGAGAAAGGGCAATGGAGATTTTCTGCAAATGAAAAGCAAAACACATAGCAGCGAGACACAACTGTGTGGATGCAAGGTTTCGGCGCATTGCCGCCTTTTGTAAGGTTCATTTGAGCGCTTCCGATGTCTCTGCTGCTTTTGTATGGAAGTTACATATTCGGCGACCAGGTGGGGGGGGGGGAAAGACTGAAAGGGCTCGCATTCATCCGTCCCTTTCGAAAGAAGTTCTCTCTATTTTGTTTGGGAAAATTTCTGCAAAACACCGCTCCTCAAAATATCCTCGATCCCCCCTTCCCCACCTCTCACCTCTAAGAAGTTCTTTTTTTGAGAATCCTTCACTGTTACCCTAAAAAACACGAAAATTCCTAATTCACGATGACACTGTAAGAACTTTTTCCACTTGCCGCGAAATCTCCTCGTAATGCGTCAAAGTATAAAACGAAGGTCTAACTGCCTGCGTGAGTTCACGGCGATCGTCTCCTCCCATAAGTAACTATGAAGAAGTTTTCGGAGTGAAGAAGCAGAACATGCTGTGAAATGAACCGAGACGAGAACTATTTCCGACGGCCTTCTTTTTGATCGTCTTCACTGCCGTTCGGGTCACTGCAAAGGAAATTGGTTACGTGAAGGTGGATTCTGATTGCAAACAGCTGAAAGCAGTAATAAACTTTGAAAACTGAAAGAGACAATTGCACGGTTATGGGGCAAATTTGTCCGTCAAAATGTGGAATTCAGACCATAAAGAAATGAAAGAGAGCGAAAAGATCAATCAGATTGGAACTACACCTTTTATTTTATCGTCTTGCCACCAACAATCCTTAAAGGCACAGTTCGCGACCGCAAATTGCGGGAAACGGAACTCAAATAGGCACAAAAAGTGTTAAGTTCTGATTAGCGGAGAAAAGCAGCAGTGAAAGCAGTCCGAAATGTTATAAAGAAAGATAACATAGTGGCGACTAGCCAGTAGCTAGCAGCCGGTGAGGGTCGGCATGGGCCTAAGGGGTGTCCATGGGCCTAATTAGCCAGCTTCCAGCAGAGTTCTTGCCGTTTTTCACATTTTGGAAGTAGCGCAGCTTCAAAAATCGCCTTCCGGATCGTCCGACACATTTGAGAGGTCATAGCCTTATTTTATCGCGGAATGCGCCTTTAATGATCCGTTGCGTCAGTTTTGTGTTTACGACCTCCCAAATTAGTTTGATACCAATTTACCTTCCCCAGACGAGAGAAGGCTTAGTGGGTTTGGGAGGGAACCGATCTGAAAGCCGACTGGCGTGGTCCACTTGCGCTACACCACCGCCTGGAATCTTGCTTACATTGCTGCAAATTTTATAAAGTCCCTTCATGTTTGTGCAGTCAATGGGTTTGCAGGGGGGGGGGTGCAAAAAAGACACATTTCTTCCTCACTTTTAAGGCGATGTTAGTTACACTTCAACAAAGTCCGATTGGACATTTCCACCATCATATTCAACAACACAGTGTCCACAATCATGAAACTCCGTCACAGCCTTCTGGACGAGCGCCATTGAGAGATTCTGCCCGACGCATCGGTGCCCGAGTTCAGCGAGGTCGTTGATTTCTCCGCCACTGTAGACCACCCTTGGGTCACAGGGGTAGTTCGGTGTCCTGATCACAAATATAGTAAGTTGCATGGTAGGGTTATTTGACATCCTAACGTCAAATAACCTGTGACGCCCCTGGAGCAGTGCGCCTATCCACTACGCCATCGGCCGCTTGCCGTATGCAGTGATCGTTCTCAACTTGTGCGAACAGAGCAGAGATTAAATGGTCCGTAATTCCCTTCAGAGAATCGTTCCGTAAATTCCGAGGGCAGATTTGGATTCAGCGGCTCAAGGCACGTCTATACATATACGCCACATTGCAAATGGCCGAATCGACCTGTTGGGGTTCCTTTGTTGTCGTGGTTCAAAGGCAGTCGCCCTTCTGACCCCTCCAACACGACGCATTTAGGTGGTTCAGAGCCCTGTGAGTCCCGAATCCAGGAACTCACGTCATCCTGAGGGTCCTCCTCGGGGACCGCACTGGTCTCTCCCCAGTGCAGCCTCCGCTCCCCGAGGGTCTACAGAGTTCCTATCCCGGGGGGGGACGTTGTGGGGGGAACATGCGGTAGGTCCCCACGACTGGCCTACCCCTGACCCGGCCACAAGGACCAGACCAAGGGTTCCCTGGTCGCTGGACGCAAACCGATAAGTTACAACATGACACAGCAGCCTACAGTGCCTTAGTCGGGCCCCCGCCCTTGCGCTCCCCAGTATCTGCCCTAACACACAAACACATATTATAAAACACTCACGATTTCACGGCGCAAAGCAACGATACCAATCACCATCTTCTACTCTCATCCCTGCCGTCCTGGACAACCAATCCATCGGTACTTGATTGACATCGTTCGCGGTAAGAGCGGTAAAGCGGCACTCTGCCGGCTTGCTCGAGTGTCAGCCCTCGCAGCGTCAGGTGCCACTCGGGCTTCCACTCCACGTGAGCCAGGTATCAACCTTTCCTCCTGGCAGGAGAGGGATGCTCTCGCGGGGCGTCATGTGACACACGCCTATTTGTTGGCGGTGCAGCGCATGGTTCGGCCGTAGAGCGCGGTAGAGTCCTGGCGCCCGGTGCGCACGAGGCCACAGTCGCGAATCGCGACACTTGTCAGCATTCTGTGATAACATTCTGAACGCAGATTGCGGCGTTAAACAGCAGTTTTCATAACACAGCTTAGAAATATGACAGAACGTTCCAGCCAACCCGATATCTATTCTCCAATTGCAAATAGCTAGAAAAAAGCTCTGTAGGCCATCGTACAACATGGTCCTGTGTCTCGACCTTGAGTTCTATATGTTCGGCATACGCTGCGCATATGCCAAACACAAAGAAACTCTATGTCGTGACAAAGCTAGCCATCTGTGAAATGTGCACGAAATTCCCGTTCATCCTTGATAGTGCAGTATGTCACGCGTTTCCCCACTATCCTCGTAGCTTTACTGGCGTAAAGTTCAGTTCGTACGTCCACTGCGGAGTTACATTTAACTGGGCGCCGCTTTGGGTTACGGTACAGTGGTGGTGATACTAAAGTTAGCTTCTGGTGTCATCTTGTGCTGTGGATTTTCGGAATTGTACGAATTTACAACTGAGGAAATGAACGTATGGACGAAGAAGCAGGTAAGGGGTTGTCGAGAGAGATGAGAGACATAAAGGTACACGCCTATAAAAAGCAGAGTTCTCTGTTCTCATCTGTAGGTACTGGGGTTTGAACTTCGAAAATGCTCGAAATCAAGCTTTTCCTGTGATAAAGACGGACAA